GAAAATTAAAATTTTATAACTCTCGTGAAAAAGCAGCGAAGAGCTCAATCCTTTTTTCATGGCTCTACTAGTTGCCTCTGATATCCATATAAAGTTTCAGCATTCCACTTTGTTCCATTCGCGACTTATTGAATTCTTGAGTTTTCCACAGGTTCGCTCACAAGGAATGAGCTCCACAAACGTTATTTACCAACGCGATTGAAATTTTAAGCTAAAAGTGGTTGTGACTGGCGAACACGCTGCTAGAATTGAAATTACACAACATTGATATCCTGTAAGCCCGGTCTTTCAGGAGGGTCTCTGGCGATCCCTTAATTCATGATCAGGTCAGAGTCAATCTTTTTCTTTTCTTAATAAGAATAAGACTTCGGAATCATCTTTGTTCTAAAATTTCAATCGCGTTGGTAAATAACGTTTGTGGAGCTCATTTCTTGTGAGCGAACCTGTGGAAAACTCAAGAATTCAATAAGTCGCGAATGAAACAAAGTGGAATGCTGAAACTTTATATGGATATCAGAGGCAACTAGTAGAGCCATGAAAAAAGGATTGAGCTCTTCGCTGCTTTTTCACGAGAGTTATAAAATTTTAATTTTCCTTCGCAAAAAAGACGAAAACCTTTATAACTTTTGAAAGAAGCGACATGGAAATCCCTTTAAGGTTTCTTCTAACTGCCTTTCCTCTATCGATCGAGATATAAATCATTCAAAACCAAGTTGGGCACCTGAATAGGTTCCCTCATAAGTGACTAGTTTAAAAGAATCTTGTTACGTTTAGTTGTGGTAAAACAACAATTTGTGAAATGTTGAGTTCAATGAATGATCAACAACTTTACACAATTAACTGTCATACAACAACAGAAAGTGCTGATTTTATTGGTGGAATACGACCAGTTCGAAATAGACAAGTACGTTAACTTAAACTTATTTTTTTAATCTATACATAATGGCCTCTTTTCCATTAGACGGACGAACAAACATCAAGTAAAACAACAAAACGTCGTTTATTCGAGTGGCAAGATGGTGTTTTAGTTTGTGCAATGAAATCTGGTGGTCTATTTTTGATTGATGAAATATCGTTAGCTGATGACAGTGTCCTAGAAAGATTGAATAGTGTATTGGAACATGAAAAACAAATTGTTTTAGCTGAAAAAGGTTTATCAGCAACCACAACCACCACTTCCACGATTACTGGTGATCACTATGATCAAATTGAAATTGTTACTGCCACAAAAGAATTTAGAATTGTATCTACGATGAATCCAAGTGGAGATTTCGGAAAAAAAGAGGTAATGTTCATACTGACGATTTTTAATTACTGTTTTACTGATAAATGAATGCTGCAAGCTATGATGAATCTACTTGCCCTCTCTTAAAACAAACAGTGCTGAGAATTGTAGTTATGACTGAGCTTGCATTCCAGGATTACATCGACTATATGACTCGTATCTATTATTGTAGAGTAGCGAGCTTATTATCCTAAACAAACCTAATAATCATGAGTTACATCAAAAAGGAGTGCACTATAACAAATAGAACAGATTTATCATATATTGTCTATACTCGGACTTGAAAAATTAAAAATTTAAATAAGTTTTCCGAATAATTATCAAAATCTTTAATGATACGGTCTCTACCATGACAAATATAAAAAAATGTTTGGTCACCAAAATTTGAGAACATTACCTATGAAAAAAATAGACTTAGCAGTAGTCAAAGTTCAGGTAACATTACTTACTTATTCACGTCTAATAAACTTATTTGTATGAATTAATAGACGAATCTTCTTGTAAATTCATACTCTCATTGTCAATGACTTGTCTTCTATTTGTTTTGTCTAGTTATCACCTGCTCTTCGTAACCGTTTTACTGAAATATGGTGTACGCCTAGTGAAACACTAGATGATTTAAAATCGATTATTTTTCATAATTTGAAAATTGAAGACAATCAACAACGTCGTAAATATTCAGAAATTATGACAGATTTTGTTCAATGGTTAAGAAAAGTACAGAAAACGAAAAAGTATGTAGTGATAATGTATGCAAAATCTCTAGAAATGAAATCTTTTACAATTAATTATTATTTTCTTTTAGAATTTTGACAACTGTTCGCGATGTCCTTAGTTGGGTTGATTTTATAAATTTATTAGTTCTCAAATATCCTCATTCTACTCCACTCGCTTATTATCACGGTGCAAACTTAGTATTTTTGGATTGTTTATCTCAACAAGATGATGCGAATTTAAAACAAAGTGCCATAGAATATTTACAACAACAACTAGATCATCAGTTAGATAAAAGTAGACTATTTACAAATCATCAAGACGATAATTCTGTTCGATTTGGTTCATTTTCAGTAGAGAAAGGCTCTTCATCATTCATAGAACATCAACAACGTTATAATTTTTTAGCACCAACTACTAATGAAAATTCGTTACGTTTAGTTCGAGCAATGCAATTATCAAAACCAATATTAATTGAAGGAAGTCCGGGAGTGGGAAAAACATCGATTGTTATTGAATTAGCGAAATTATGTCAACACGAATTTATCAGACTTAATCTTAGTGAACAAACTGTAAGAATAAAATATAATAAGAGAGATAAATGATCAATCTTATGTTTTCTCATTTTTCTTTTTATAGGATATTAGTGATTTATTTGGAAGTGATTTACCGGTTGAACATGGGGAAGCAGGACAATTTGCATGGCATGATGGACCATTGTTAACAGCACTCAAAAAAAATCAATGGATCATACTCGATGAAGTAAAGTTGTTGTATATTGCGTAATAAATGTTTCTCTAACATCATTGAATAAATCATACAATACAATTATTTTTTCATTTTAGCTTAATTTAGCAAATCAATCTGTTCTAGAAGGTTTAAATGCATGTCTCGATCATCGTGGTGAAATTTATATACCCGAATTAAATCGTACATTTTATGTTCGTCACTGTAAATCAGTTCGTTTATTTGCCTGTCAGAATCCATATAATCAAGGTGGTGGACGCAAAGGTTTACCAAAATCATTTTTGAATCGTTTTACATCTGTATATTTTGATCCATTAACTCATCAAGATTTATTTGTAATTTGTCAACACTTATATCCAACATTCAACAATGAACGAATAGAAAATATGTTAAAATTTAATCAACGATTACATGAACAAATTGTTGAAAAAAGACAGTTTGGTGGAGAAGGTGCACCATGGGAATTTAATTTAAGAGATGTATTAAGATGGTGTGAAGTAACAGGAGAACAAAATCAACCAGAAGATTATTTAAATTTAATCTATTCACATCGAATGAGAACAACAGAAGCAAAAGAGAAAATTCGATTATTGTTTGAACAAACAACAGAATGGAAAATGAAATCAGAATCGATTACATTCAATATGACAGATACTATGTTACGGGTAAATTACTTTGATACAACGAATCAGTTGATAAAATCTTTTTAATAGATAAAATTTATTACGTTTTGAGATATTCTGACATTTTTAAATCTTTTTATTATAATAAATTTCTTTCTTGTATCTTAACAAATTTTTATTTTATTTTATTTAGATTGGTCAAAGTTGTTGTAAACGTGAATCATTACTTCTATCCTCTGTCGTTCGTCAACATAATTTTATTTTAATGCGTCATCAATTACCCTATATGGAATCAATTTTAAAATGTTTAGAAATGTCTTGGCCAGTACTGTTAGTTGGTGATACATCGTCATGTAAAACAAGTCTCATGGAAATTTTGTCACAATTAGTTGGACACAAATGTGATTATTTTCCATTGAATTCATCGATTGATACAACAGAATTACTTGGAAATTTTGAACAATTTGATTTATCAAAGATGTTAAAAGATGAATTGGAGATTATCAAACAAGATTTAAAACTATTAGCTCAACAGTATCTTGTAGAAGAACAAAATTATTTGAAATGTTCAAAATGTTTTGATCTTATCTACCAAATTGATAGTTTACAAGAAGGTAATTAAATTGTTTTCTATTTTATTTCGTATACATCGAAACAAAAATTTTAAATCGTACAATGTTGAAAATACAAGAGTTAGCATTCGTATACAAAAAATATTACTCTCATAAGAGTTGATCTAAAAAGCTTTATTAAAAGAAAAATCTGAGCACAAAGGGTTAAAAGAAACCCACTTTAGCACTATACGTTAGCACTATATGTTGTCATAAGAGTTGTTCTACTAATTTGTTCCATTTTCTCTATATATTTTAGATAATAAATCAATAATAACACTATTAAAAGAGTTAAAACGTTTTTTACCTGATAAATCTAAAATTGTCTCATTAATCAAACAATATCGTTTATGGAAATTAAAAACGGGTCAATTTGTATGGAATGAATCACAGTTACTTCGTTCAATGATAAATGGTTCATGGCTTGTGATTGAAAATGTAAATCAATGTCAATTATCTGTTTTGGATCGATTAAATTCGTTATTAGAACCAAATGGAACCTTAACAATTAATGAATGTGGTGGAGAAACAAAAAGAGTATATCCACATAAACAATTTCGTCTTATTTTAACAATGGATCCAAAATATGGTGAAATATCAAGAGCAATGAGAAATCGATGTATCGAAATATTTATTCAAAATGATATTAAAAAGCATGAATTAGATACAAAAGAATTGTTAGATTCATTACATATTAGAGATGATAATTTAAAACAACAATTTTATAATGTACATAATATATTATGTCAGAAAGGTTGGTATTGTTTTTTTTTTATTATTGTTATTGTTGGTTTTTTGTTAGAGACAAACGCTGATCTTTTATATTTGCAGAAAATGAAGTTAAACTCAATTAATTATCATAGTTACAAATAAGTGAAAATATCGATAAATTTTAATATTACTTTAGTCTACATGTGTAAAATTTAGTCTACAATGTGTAAAATTTCTAATATTCTTGGTTTTTTTCTCTCATTTTAGTATCAACATTCGGCTATCATAATTTAATTCGTTCATGTTTATTATACAATCAATTATTTTATACACTTTCGATAAATTCAACTTCAGAATTATTTCGTTTAGCTCTTAAAATAGCTTATGTGACATTGAATAATAAACAAAATTTAGAATTACAATCTCTCATTGATAATTTATCGCTTGATAAACATCAAATAACAACTTCTTCATTTCCATCGGTTTTAATTAATAATCTTTGTCTTCGTCCATCACTCTTTCTATTTGAAAAACATAACTGGCAATTTATCACGAATAATATTGATAATTCAACATTCAAAATATTATTTTATCGATTTTTCGAATATTTATCAATAACAGATTGGCAGTTATATTTAGATTATTATCAGACTCATTCTAATTGGGAAATAACAAATTGTCGAGTATCAATAGTAAGAGAAATTATGTCGTCTGATCAACTTTTATCAAAATTAGATGAAAAATATTCAAATTTATCACCATTCGATAGTCGTTTTGATCCATATATGAATGGTGTAAATACGATTAATTTCAACATTTACAATCGTTTACACATGCTTATACGTTTTTATACAGATTGTTTTTATATAGTAAATATGATCGAAAGACGAAAAAAGAAGACGAAAATAGATTTGTCCGAAATTGGCTCATATTATATGACAAATCAAACAGACTTAAAACGAGCACATTTAGATGAAAAATTATTTTATTCAAATTCACATTTATGGTTAATCTTAAAATTATTTATAAAAGAGTATTTATCAACAGCAAATGTTGATATGAATAATCAACTGGCATGGACGTTTGTTCGAGCTTGGAATCTATTAGTAAATGTTATTCAAACAAATATCGGTAAGATTTATATTCTTAAAATTGTTGTGCCCTCTCGACTTTAGCGATCTTATAAAACCATTTCTAGACAAGATATGGGTTCTGAAAAAATTTTAATTATTTTCTATAATTTTTGGATCAATATCTACTTATCTTACTTAGTTTCATGTTGAACTGAGCAGTGACACTCAGAAACTGATATTTCAGTAAGTGTACCTCTGTGCAATCTAACTTATCTTTATTCAGCTGGGCTAATTGTATTTTTGTTTTTCTCGAGCCCGAATCAACGCGAATGAGTAACTCGTCTTGAGAGCAATTGTTGTGCAGCATAACCAAACCTTTTGAGCAACTATGCTCAATAACCGTGTTATTATTAAAGGACAACAATAGAAATAAAAACTTTAGTGCAGTTGCGGCTGAAATACCCTTAACTTGGTTTTAATAAACTCTTCATCATGTTAAACCAAGTTAAGGATATTTCAGCCGCAATTGCACTAAAGTTTCTATTTCTATGTTCAATGTTGCATAGTTGCATAGGACAAAATCGTTGATATGTAAAGATGTGCTCTAATCGATAAAAACACAGTTACTCACAGAAAAAAACCTTATATTCAGTACAACTTCTCCCTCTCTCTCGTGAAATTTGTATCGAAAATGCTGCTCGTGATAATTATTTCTTGAGATAGAGTATTTTACTCTTTCCTTCTTTTACTCTAGATAATGATGGCAATCAACGTTTTCATTTATTGATTATTTGGCCAAAAATTCGTCCATTATTTGACTCGTGTGATATCGAATTATTGAAACGTGTACAATTTAATGATTTATGTTCACTCTATGATATTTATTTGACATTTGATCAAGAATATATGTCGATACAAAATCAATTCTTAATATTTTATAATTATCATCAATTATTTACATCTCCGTCAATATTTGCATCTCAATTAGGATACGAGTTAATATGTAAAGTACAATCATGTTTAAAAAAAATAGACATAATATCAAATGACAGTAGTAATAATAGAACGTCAACAATGGAAATATGTTTGAATTATCATATTAAACATCAAAAACAATTATATGCAACTTTACAACAGTTAAATGATATTATTTATCAAACACAGGTAAAAGTTTAACGATGTACTGATAAACTTGTTCTATTGTTCGTTCTGTTTTAGGAATTGGATGATGAAAATATGTATGAAAAATCGCTTGTTTTAATTAATGAAATCGAAACATCATGGTCAACATATCAATTGAATCAACAAACATCAACTGTTGAAATGAATATAAATCATCGTCAAATTTTATTCTATCGTACATTTGAAAATGTTCTCTATTCTTCATATTATTGGATAAAAACATTTTTATCAAAACTTATTTATGATGATAACACCGTCAATCAGACAATACTACCTATTAGTGATGATATTCGTTGTTTAACACCATTTTATTTAGCTTATTGTTCAATCTCAACATATTCTCATTGGCAAGAAATATTTTGTCATCTAATATCATTGACACAATCAAATTTTTCATCAAGATATCATCATTGGTTAAAACAGTCAACATCAACAAATGAAATTCAATTCTCATTATCATCATCAAATTCTTTATTATTTCAATTGAATAGTCGAGAAATTCCATTCGGTTGGTATGAACAAGTAAAACAACAATTAAAATATTGGAATGAATTTTATTGGAAATATGGAACATATTTATCATCGGATTCATCCACATTTGAAACACTTTGTCAAAAATGGTTTACAAAACAGTACATGAGAATAAATCAATTAAGTAAGAGAAAATAACCGACAACGATAAAGAGAATTTTTATGTACACACACTATATATATTACTAGCAGAGATTTGCACAAATCAAAAATTCATAGCCAACTTTAGCTCCACTATTAGAAATTTTCTGATCTCCAGCGAGACGTTTTTTTTATCCGTTCGACGACTAATTGGTGTAAATGTGTTAATATTTATATGTCCATGACTTCTTGTTCTCAGGTTTTTTTCTCAACATTTGTAGATACTAGGTAAATCTGTTCATTCAGTTACATATATGAAAACTAAACACAAATAGTACAATATTTTGATTACACATATTTGAATTAAGCATAATGATTTCATTGCTTCTTAATTCGACTCGATGAAAAGATGTTTTGGTTCGATTACTCTTAAAAATTTTCTCGTTCAACTTATATAAATCTCTGATTATTAGTATTTTAACTCAAATATTTTGTTTTCAACGAAGATAACTTTTTGATAAAAATATTATTTATTCTCATTTAGATCTTCCTCTCTTGTCTGATAATGTTCACTGGACGATAGTTAATAATTTATCGTTGTCAACAAGTATTCGTCTAATTAATCTTGGTCTATATCAAATTGATATATTGATGCCTTGTGGTGATATTGATCCTGTTCTATACGAACAAATTCTTCATCATTATCAACTTGAACAATGTTCAAATATTCAATTAGAATTAGATGTTAGACGTGAATGTTCAAAACAATCAATGAGTTGGAATGATTGTAACACTGATTCGACGATTATTCTTCATCCATGGCAGTCATTAATGATTGAAACCGTGAATGATTGTAGTACAATTGATAATATTAACAAAGTATATCGTTTTGATAACAGTGTCTATAAGAAATTAATTGATTCTCTTCAAAATCTACTTGTCAATTTATTTAATAAACAACGTGTTGAAAATATGTGTAATGAATTAGATAAAATTAAAAATGAGACTAATGTTGAAAAATGTGCACAAGAAAAACAACAATTTTCAATTAACTATCAACAATGGCGTACAACAATAATTGAATATTATAAAACAATGATAAAATGTGATCAATACTATTTATATAAAGATGTAACGATGCCAATTATGACAGCCATGTTTCAAGTAAGAATTTACATCGTAGAACATATGAAAAAGAAATTGGAATTGTTGTTTTTTTGCTTATTTTTAGGTTATTCTTGGTTTTGATCTATATGAGAAAACGGTGTATACGAATACAATTTTAAATCGTACACCAACAACTTTATCATCGTTTAAATTAAATTTATTTCATTGTTTACGTTTTCCATTTGTAACGATAAATGATGTTAAAACAACATTTCACATTGCCAAATACTTATTTTCACAACGAACAATTTTAAAACGACATAAATCAAATTTATCTAACGAGTAAGTACCAAAGTTTATTAGAAAAAAAAAAGAAGATAACATCTACCTGTAGCAATAGTATTTTCATTGATATTATTTTGTTTAAGTTTTTATGTATTAATTATTCAATATATTTTAACATACATTAGTACAACAGAAACATTAACCTGTGAATGTTATGAATTTTTACAAGATTATTTATTTGAAATTCATTCAATATGGTCTGAACAAAATGATTTAAATGAAAAACGTCGTTTAGAAAATGAGAGTTTATATAAAACTGTAAAACATGAAGATGAATTAGAAAGTGAACGTGATGAAATTGAATATGGAGAAATGTTTCCAAAATATGATGAACATTTTAAAGATTTTGAGTTATCATTGGATATAGTTGAAGAAGAAGTCAATAATACAGAATCTAAAAAGAAAGAAAAACAGTCAATTATATCTTCTTTTCCCTCATCATTAATATTTCAATATTTATCCGATATTGTTACATTAAAAAAATTTCAATTACCATTAATGTTCAATTCAGTTTATGATTTTTATATGAAATATGATGAAAATGATAATGAAAATAACATGTACACATTTCATATGATACGTTCAAATGCAATTTTTGATACTAAAAATACAGTCGGTACGTATGAATATTCATTATATTTGAATAATCTAAAAAATTAAAAATATATTTTATTAATTTTTTATTTTGATTTCTTTTAGCCGATTTTAAACCCTACGATATTTATAGTGATTCAAATATATCCACAGTTATATCGTGTCGTTCAACAATTGATTTAATTGATCGACGTACTAATGAATTACTTATTACTCATGATCAACATCCAATTTTACTTGAAATTCTTCAAATTATTGAACGATTAAAATGTTTTTCATTAACAAATTCTTTAATTCAATTTCTCTATGGTTTTGATTTATTATTTACTAAACTTTCATATTGGCAAACAACATATTCATCAAAAACATTAAAAACAACGTATGATATTGAAATAAAATCTCTAACAGACATAATAATTTTAATTCGAAAATATGAATTAGATTGTTGGAAATTAACACTTACAAATTTAGAATATAAATTTAAAAAACAAACAATTGAAAAATGGTGGCTACATTTAGTTGGATTATTTAATCAAGGTAAAAATAGAATATATTGAATTTAACTATGAAATCAAATTGAAAAAAAACAATAATATTTTGATTGTTTATTATTTTTCTTCTATTTAGATCTATCACAAAATCAAGATGATATAGTACTTGATCAAACATTAACAGAATATTTTGAAACATCAACATTAGGTGAATATGAGACAAAATTATATATTTTAAAAATTCTATTAAAATATTATGACAAACAACGATCGATGACATCTGTTGTATATGTTAAATGTTATAATTTTTACAAATATTATTTACAATTTCTTTCATGTATTCAAACTCAAATTGATCGACTTCGTTCACCATTGGAAAAAGAATTAAAAGATTTTATAAAAACTCAACGATGGAAAGATTATAATTATTATTCATTAAAACAAGTAACAGAAAAATGTCATCGAACGATATTTAAATATACGAAAAAATATAAAGTAAGTTTAATAAAACAATAATATTGAGGGAATTCAGCTTTTAACCTAGTTATATCATGATTTCTTCAGATTTTATCCGATCGAGCTCGAAAATTTACCAGAGACACCTGAAACAATATCTTGGATCTCCTTCTAGAATTATTTAAGAAAATAAGAAAAGTCTTATAGAAAACCTAAGGCAATTGATTTTAAACTCTATATAACTCTAGAAGGAAAAGTCAAAAAATGAAAAAAATTTGCAGTTTTAAATATAGTCCCTAGTATTTGTGATAAACTTTTAGAAGATTGCAATGCCATCCGATTAGGCAGAATCGAAATTTAGACCAGGAATGTTGTATTACAAAAGTCACTTTTTTTAGGACTCTTGATAAAATGCTTATGACTTTTGAAAACAGCATTGCTGAAAGTTAGAAAACATTTCATGTTGTAAAGAACTCTTTTCTTTACAAGACTAACTATTTGTATTCTTAATTATATTGACTCGTAACTCTTCATTATTAATCTTCTATTTATGGACACTCGTCGCACAGCTTGTATAAAATCAAAATTGCATTCTGCGCTGAACAAGTGACTCCTAAAGAATATATGATATCATTGACCGCTTTTCAATTTTACGACAATAGATTCTATTCTATCATGTTGTTGATTGTGCAGTGATACACACACACACACACATTTGTCTTATTTGATACTACTTTACGAGAGAAACGAATTTATTTAATTATATATTTGTGTTTAATTATTTTAGTCGATATTGAGTCAACCGGTATTGAAATATTTCACTTCTGAATTTACACCAAATCGTTTAACAAAAAATGAGCGTATATTGAAGAAAATTCTTGTTCAGTTACCACCAACAATTAAACACACACAACAACAACCACTACAGAATGATAAAATAACATCGAAAATATCTAAAATTATTTTATATTTGAAAAAATTGAATAAAAATGAAAAATTTGATAAAATTCCAAATGAAATGAAAGATGATACCGGTAAGTTGTTTTATTTTCGACTAGTTTCGTATTTCATTGGATATAACTATGAAATTTATTTCTAATTGGGTAATTGTATGAACAATATTCAAGAGACCGCCATAGAACGTTTCGTTTAAGCTAATTATTAGTTATTTATGTCTCATTTTCTCGTATAATACACAGTACAGTCTAAGGATTATTTTGTTCGTCAAAGGGACTTTGAGATTATAATTACAATCTTATAGTAATTACCTGGTTTACTAGAAAACTAGTGCGTCGTTACTGAGTGTGTATGACGACATCAAGATGAGTGAAAGGGCTCTGAGTCAGACTCAGATTCTGTCTAGAGTTGCAGTGAATAACTATTAAAGAGGTGAAGAATACCCCTGAAAATTGCCAAATATTACTTGAAATTGACAAGTCTGACTTAGCAGCACGTTCTATTGGCAATGATAGTCGCTAGGAAGAAGATTCTTCCTTCTTCATTTTTCCTTAAAAAACAAAATTTGTGGAACGTTTTATGTTCGTATTTCACTCTTCAGTTCTGTAAATATATGTCACAACTAATACCGATATTTTTGCTCATATCTTTAGATAAGATCTGTCATTTATCTAAAACAATTCAATCATTAAAATCCTCTCTTTCATCCTCGACAAAAGAAGATAGAGAAAAATTTCGTAAAGATTTGAAACAGATTTATGTTGAAAAACGTCAGTTAATTACTCAATTATTTAAAAAATTACAAGCAATTGGGTTATCACATCGAAAAGGTTTAGTTTCGAAAATAACTTCACATCAATTATTTTCAATTTTACCTGTCGAATTGGCATCAACTGTAGAAGAAGAAAAAGAAGAAGATCATACAATCGTCTATGGTTTTATACCATTATCAACAAAAAATCTTTTACTCGAATCTCGTTCGTACGTCTATACATCGTCCTATTTACCAACAACGAATTTGTGTGATTCGTACTATTATTCTCTACTATCAAAACGTCTTATATTAAAACAATTATTGACAAAACCTGAATCAAAAACAGTTGATCCTGTTTATTTTGAACGTATTCAAGGTCATAGTGAACATTTAACACAAATTATTAATCAGCAAAAATTATTTTTACATTCACTCATTGATAAATATCAACAATATACTCAGCTTGAGCAAATATACAAACAGACACAAATAGTGGCAAACGAGAATGTCAAGTAAGTGTTTGAGATAATTATTTGAAAAATTTCCAATTTGTATCCAATGACATGTTTTAATTTTATTTTTTAGCCTGGTTAATTCGTCTTCTCTAACTTATCTATTAACCTCAACAACAGTTGTCCTTGAACGTATTCATCATGTCAAATATTTATTAGAATCAGCTCCATCTCACTTAAGTAATGATCAACATTATCTCCGTTTAACTTCTGACATTCCTCAATATATTACTCAATTAACGGATAAACATTCTCAAATGTATTTGGATCTTATGGAATTATTTGAGAAATTAAATACATTATGTTCGCAATTATTAACAAAAATAATGAATTTAACTAAAATAATGAATGAAACGTCTAAATATCATCCACTTGTAAATGATATTCTACTCATTCAAACTGAACTTCGACATTCGTATAATTCTATTGAAAATGTTTTAACAAATCTTTTTGTTGAGAATAACAAATTTTCAAATGATCAATTTATCGCAGCGACAATTCAAGATTTATTGATAACATTAAAATATATTTGTCAGCTTGAAATAACTACAGATAATATTACAGAAGAGAATGGTACGTTTAAAGTCGTTAAAATTTCATATATTTTTTATCAGTATCTAAATTTGAATATCTTGGTGATGATAAACTTCTAGTTGATCTATCTTTCTTTATCATTATCGATTTTTTTCTTCTTCTTTTTAGAGACTGTACGTTCAATTGATAAGCCATTTATCCGTTATTTATCTCGTGTATTAAAATCTCTTCGACAACTTTCATCAAATCAACCATTTTCTCACGGTGAAGGTTGGCTTGTTTCATATTACAATTCAATGAATAGAAATGTCTCACTTTTTGAATTATCACGTTTAATCGATATTTTACGTCAATTATTAATGCAACAATCAACATCATCTACATCTAATGTTATTATTCAACCGTTATTTAATTCAATTCGATGTCTGTTAGAACAATTTCTCTATCGTCTAACATATTATCATCGTTGCACCATACAAATTCATTTGACATTACTTCAATTATTTACAAAAATATTACAAGAAGGTTTCGATATGCCAAATGAAGAGATCGACGGTGAACAAGAGGGAGAAGAAACAACGCATGAGGGAGGTATGGGTTTGGCAGAAGGTAAAGGTAGTAAAGATGTGTCCGATCAAATTGAAACAGAAGATCAATTAGAAGATACACACATGGATAAAGACGAGAAGAAAAACAATGATGAAACAGATGAAAATGAACCAGATGAAAATGAAAATATTGATGAAGAAAAAAATGCTATAGAAGTTTCATTTGATTTCGAAGGGAATTTACAAGATAATCAAAATACGTAAGTATACATTTGATAGTTAGTGCGAGTTATTCGAGAACTGTGATACAGTGGGTATTATGAAAGCGCTCTTTTTCCAATATTTCTGCGTGTGTGTGGCATTTAGAGATGAGCGGTATCGTGACGAGACTGAAGAGAATATGATCAGAAAAAATTTGTTATAATATCGAAAAAATTGTTGTTAAAGGATGCTTTTTTCGGCTATCTATAACTTTTTAATAAATTTCCATCTTATTTTAGTGAAGAAAACCGTGATGAAGAGGAAAATGAAGATGAGGATGAAGATGATCAGACTGATGATCAAATGGGAGACGTTAGCGACAATGATGACGGAGAAACGTTCGATGAAAAAAAATGGGGTGATGATGAGCAAGAGGAAAAAGAACAAAACGAGAAGGTAGGACATTAACAGAATATGACATTAGTTAGTATCTTTTGAATAATATATATTGGATAAACTTTGGTTCTTCATTTTTCTCATGTTTGTTTTATAATATATTCAAATTATTGGCTTGGTTTTTTTAGAAAGGCAAAGAGTCGAACAAAGAAGGCGGTGAACCTGAAAATGATCAGGGTTTACAAGCAAAAGACGAAAACATTGATCGACAAGATGTGGAAAAACCTCAAGAATCAAATGAAAAAGAACTTCCAGAGTATTTAGAAGAAGATTTGAATAATGATGAATTAGAGGGTGAAAATGAACAAAATCCATCTCATGACCAACAAGAACAAAAACCACCACAGATCGATTCCCTGGATTTGCCGGAAAATATGGATTTAGATAAAAATGAACAGGATGACAATATGAATGAGGATGCTCAAGAAATAGAAAAAGATTTAGATCTTCCGGCGATGGAAGAACAAGAAGAAGATGAGATGGAGATTGACTCGGAACAACAAAAGACTGACCAAGAACCAGAACAACAACAAAAACCTGAAAATAATGTAGCTGATGTACCGCCTCAGCCAGAAGATGAAGAACAAGAGCAAGTAGAAAATAAAACCGCCGATGCCATATCAAATGATAAACAACTGACAAATGAAAAAACAGAACAGTTAAAGCAAAAAAATTTACAAGCAAATGCTGAAACATTGGAAGAGAATAAGAATATGGTAAATTGAATATTAATTTTAAAAAATAGTCTAAAGATTAATTAATTATTATTGTTCTTAGTCTGTATGTACTATTACATTTTTCAGGATAAAAATGTTGGACAATCATCGACTGAACAACGTGATAGTGATCGTCATGGTTTTAATGATGAACAAACTCAAAAAATTACGACAGATTTGAGTCAAACTATTCAGGATGATAAAACTAAAACAAATCTTGATCAGCATCAAAATAAAAGTAAACAGTCGAATGATCGTACGTTAGGTGATCTAGCATCGAAACTAGATAAAAATATAAAAGCAGCGTTTGATATTAAACAAGAAGAACAAGAAAAACCAGAAGAAAATACAGAAAATATGGATGGTGTAGAAAATGATGATGAGAAAGATGCAGAATATTTTGCACACACAAAAAATATTCAAAAGTCAGCTAAACAAATACTTGATTCGGCTACACTTGAACAGCAACAACAAGATCAATCGTATCCACAACAAGTGGAGGATGAAGAGGTAAGAAAAAGGAGGTCGTGCACAATTTCAGTTCGCTGTGAACTCAGTTTTTTGAAACTTTTTTGTTTTGGTAGGTATCTTAGGTATCTTACGAAATTAGGGTATCGTGCAATTACTTGTCGAGCTTACTCTCAACCTCATCCCTCCTGCCACATACGAATAACCTTGTACATGTGTCTGGTACATATATATAGAATATAATTCGCTGCAAACTCAAAATGTGACTACTATATCTGAGTTCGCAGTGAACTGATATTGTGCATAGTATGAGAAAAAGAAAGAGTACCAACAGGGATGTCACAACCAGCGGGAAATTCAGCGAATTATTCACATTCAATAATTAAAAAGTTGTCGTTTATTCTCTGAGGCAATTTTAATCACAATCTTCTTAGCATATAATCAATAAATTCGCTAAGTTTTCTTGTACTTTAACTGAAAAGTTATATATATAAAAGTCTGATTAGCAATCGTCATTCTGACGTCTGTATTTGTGAATATGAGAAGCTCTGTTACTTTTGTTAAGTGTTATCGTTTTATATGTATGCTCTATTGTTGTAGGATGCGTCAAAATCTATGAATGAGGCAGAATCACAAATGATTGTTGATGATACTCAGAATGATGAACAAGAGCTAATAAATGAAAATAATTCTAGTCATAATCAAAATCAGACACAGTTGAGTAAGAAAAAAGTGTCAAAAGATGATACCAACAATTTAATTGATGAACAAAAGATGTCTATTGAACAGAGTGAGAAAGAATACGTGTCTACATATGATGTTGAACATCGATATAATTATGTGGCCATTGTACAAGAAAAAGCCTTAACAGAAGTTGATGAAGAATATGTCGATTTATCTCAAGAATTAGAACAATCATTACAACAATGGTATCTAAGAGATGTAAGTTGTACGATCGATTTTTGACAGTCTAAACGTAAAGTATTGTACAAATGCTTCACTTTTACTTGTTCAAACCGTTTTTATTGAATGTATGAGGTTTTACATAAACATCTAAATAGGATCTATACTTTCTCAATTTAGGTTGATGATTCACGAGATAATGATAGTGAACAATGTCAACAGTTATGGTCTCTCTTAGAATCATCAGTACAACCGTTAGTATTTGAATTATGTGAACAATTACGTTTAATATTAGAACCTCAACAATGTACAAAATATCGTGGTGATTATCGCATAGGAAAACGTCTAAATATGAAACGTGTTTTAACCTATATTGCATCAGATTTTCGTAAAGATCGTATTTGGTTAAAACGATTAAAACCATCAAAAAGAAATTATCAGTTATATTTAGCTATTGATGATTCATTATCTATTGGTGAAAATCATGTTAAATGTTTAGCATTAGAATCATTGTGTCTACTAGGACAGAGTTTAAGTTTACTCGATATTGGACAATTTGGAATTTTATCATTTGGCGAACAAGTACAAATATTACAACCATTACAGCCACAGTTTACACAGGAAAATGGAATTAAAATATTGAAACAATTAAAATTTAATCAAACAAAAACATTGACAGCCGATGTAAGAACTTTAAATACAACAGAGTAGTAATAAAACTCAAGATTATTTTTCTAAATATTGCCTTTTATTTTTCAACTTTTAGTTATTAAATTTTGTCACAGCCTCCTTTCTACAAGAAAAACTTCATTCATCTTCGTATTCGAATTCTTATCAAAGTATTGATTTATCTCAATTATTAATTATTTTATCGGATGCACGAGGTTTGAATACTCATCAGTCAAAAGAGTTATTAAAAAAATCAATTCGTCAAGCTGTCAGTTCTAATATATTCATTGTTTTTATCATTTTGGACAATATAAAACAGAACAAGAATTCTCATACAATATTTGAATTAGAGTCATGGTCATTTACGAGTGATAATAAAGTAAGTCGATAAACTAAGAAACATGATCATTTATCGAAAGTCTCTTTAGACTTAGGATAAAAAATCACGAATTCTACTTATCAATTAGTAACCAAACGTTGTTAACTCCTTTGACTAACGTATTGATAAGAAGTCTTGTCTATAGCACTGCTCGTCTACTGTTTTAAATTTCTTCATATCACACGTGCAATCGAATTTTTTATTGATTTTAGGCTATTCGTAGTTTATACATGGATGATTTTCCATTTTCTTATTATTTGGTGATACAAGATATTGATATGTTACCCCGTGCTCTCATTGATGTTCTGAAACAATTTCTTGAATTGACCTCTACCTCTTCAAATCAGTAATGAATAACAAAATGTCTTTCATTTCTTTTTTGTTTTCATCTATTTTTTCTTCTTACAATTGTGTTGTTTTTTATATGAACTTTTTTTCTTTTCTAGTTCATAAAATTGTTGTTGCGTTTGCTATAATGTTATATTTTTTCTGTTTCTCTTTATTATGAAAGTTGAAATATAAACCGTTGTTACAAAAAAACCTAGGCGTTGTTGTTTCACTTAAAAGTATATGTTAGAAAATGTTCTTGTTGCCTCATTTAGATCGTATGTATGACCAGAAATATCAGATGTCTCCCTGTAAGAGAGATACTTTCACATTTCGGGATTTATCATGAAAATCGTTTCCTATAAACGTTTTTTCTTGCAACTGTCTCCAATGGACTTATCACTTTTTTATAATAGACTATTTATCTGACTATGCGAGAGGACCAAACATATTCGTCCGGATCATCTAGAGTCTTATTATTTTCATAAACAAACTCACTAACACCACAACTGAAAAAATTAATTTTTCTTCTATTTTTTTCAATTCCACCACCTAATTCGTTTGTCGAAACCATTTTTTCACATATGAATTATTGTTGGACGGATGTATGAAATAGAATGTCAGGCATATTAGTGGCTAAAGAATCGAAAATCAGAACGAATACAAATTTAACGTGTACTCATTTTCATTCTATGATTTTAAGTAAGAATGTTCTTAAGAGCATTCGTGAAAGTGAAAAATATAGACGTATGAGTAAAAGAAATTACGTTCGAATTGATCATAATATTGTTTTTTGTATAACAACAGATATTTCTGTTTAATCTGATGTTTTGAGATACAAGAAGAAAAATGAATAACAGATGTATTCGACAGAAAATAAAGAATATATTTATGTGCCTGTAATTTTCTCAATGCCGTCATACGACAAATAAAATGTGTTCAGACTTATGCCCCTTTGAAGAAAAATTTGTTTCCAGCGACGTAGCCAGGATTCCAGTAAGGGGTGGGCTAAACCTTTTTTCGGCCAAAGAAAACAGTAAAAAGATTCTTATGTAGTATTTTTATTTTTGATTTCAATCAAAATATTTTTTTCTACTGCGAAATGAAGAAAATGAAATTTCTAAGGGGTGGGCCATGGCCCATCCTTGGTCAAGTGCTGGCTACGTCGCTGTTTGTTTCCCCCTATTTTTCGTAGTTGGCATGACATTTCTCTCATGATTGCCTGATATATGTTTATTTTTTATGCTATTCGTTAATATACACTGTTTCGAACCATGATAATATGACCTTTTTAGATCAGGACTTGTCCAAGAAACAGTGTCTATATGTATTGATCCTAGTTATATTTGTAAATTTTGAGTCTTGATTTTATCTATCAAACATTAAATGATAGATATCTTCATTTACATTCGAATATGTAAAAACAAATTCGATCATTAATGTAAGAGTATTATACGAGCTATGTGAATGACTGGTTAACATAACAAAAGTTATCGACTAAATAAATTACACGTGTGTGTAACTTTTACTCATAGCTCAGTTATCTATAGCGATGTTTACCATTCATGTCACGATTGAAAATATACAATCCATTCAAAAATCAAAGGGTTTTTATTATGATAATAACCTTTAAATAAGGACAGACGTCGACCTTCAGTGTTAATGGCCAAGGACTGCCCATAGTTTTTAACGGCCAATCTAAAATAATTGACTTTTATCTATTTTCACTAAATATCAAAAACATTGTCTCTCACTAAAAATAGAACTTGACGATGAGTTTGACGTGTCTTTATCGATTTACTATTGAGGTCAAAAATCTTCAGAGATTAATCGAATTTTTTTAAATATGGTTTTTAAGGGCGGGGGGGGGGGG